TTTTTTCTTTTTCTTTCCTCAATTTGAAGAAAATCGTAGAAGAATAAGACAACCAGCCGAAGTTGTTTTTTTTTTCTTTTTTCTTTTTTTGTTTTTCTTTTCTCTGGTGCCCCCCGTGTGACCACACGACCTTGCCCTAAGTGCAAAGTGTCAGGGTTGCGACTTCGTCCGTTCTGGACGAAGTCCGCACGTGTGACCACACAGGGACCAAATGACCCAAATAACCGTACCCAGATGCCTCAAATTTTTGGTTCATTTGGTCCCCGTGTGAGTATGCCCTCAGAGCGAGCATTTGGGAGAAATCACGAAAGGACCCCCCCCCTCCCCCTCTGTGGCAGTGTTTGTCCTCTTTTGATCGTCGACGACGAAGACCAACGGCCGCAAGCGAACGATCCGGATGAGTGCCACCTGGCCGCCCGTAGCGCGAGTTGTGCCATGACTCCTCGAGGCTTTTCTCTGGGAAACTTCTGCGTTCTTCTCTCGATGATGGGCACGCATCAACATAATTGAAGTAGGAGGATCGGGGTTGTCGGCTCGATGGTTGCGCTCGTGATATATGCTTATCCTACTCCACGTGGCATCATCGGTCCTCAGGTAAGCATTCACGTCTCTCAGTAGATTGTACTCCCATCTCGCTTCGAGCACCCTATTACTCTACGGCGTCCCTGCACCTATCTCGATGCAGACAAGGCCGCACTCACAACTAGACACGTAGAGTGCACGGAGAGCCTGCGCTGCCCGCCCCTCCCGCGAGTACCTCTGGCCATTCCTCCCTTCCTTTACCTCCGGGGGCGTTTGCAGAGCCCTAGATTAATTAGGTTGCTTTACAGGAAGCCCTAGATTATTAGGTTGCTTCGCAGATCTTTCCCCCCTCATTCCGGGGTCGTTTCTTTAAAGTTATCCCAGTTTGGTTGCCTCATTCCCACACGGCAGTCCGATTCTGATACCCGTGTTTTTTTTTTTTTTTTTTTTTTTTGCTGGAAATATAGTTCCGAAAAGACAACACCGTATACCCGTGTTTTGGGACCCCTCCAGTCTTTTTTTTTCCCCCCCCCCTCCAGTCTTGGAGAATTCTACACAGGGGTACTTGTGCAGTTGCCCATCTTTTTGGCATGTCGTCATCTCCGATTGCCAGAGCAAACGATCAGTCCCTCACACAACTTTCTTTTTCTACGCCGTGTGACCTTCAACTGTATGCAGAGTGCCCAGCGATCACGCAGAACGGCTACGTAGCCCGTACTCGGCAGTTGGGGCGCCCGGTGGGGAAGACGGCATAGAATGTCTGAGCTCATTTCTGAAATCGGAAAAAAGCCGAGAACTTGGGGACGTCTTCATGGCTATCTCCTCTCTTGAAAAGCTTGGTAGTGTATTCACCGTAGACATGAGCACCGCTTAGATTTCTAGGGCAGATTCTAGTCAACGCACGATGATATTAACTCCTCGTTTCGTCTCTCTCACGAAGGGTTTGCACACTTCCTACCCATCGTCGACCTTTTTTTTTCGGACTTTCCTGCATATTTTTTCGACGCAGAATCCGCTTTTTGCCCCAGACCCCCTCCCTGCGGTTCTGTCCGGGTTCTTTTTTTTTTTTTTTTTTTTTTTTTTTTTTTTTTTTTTTCCCTTTTTGAAAACACACTCGGCCCATCTACTCTTGGGGGGGCATCAGTCCGATTGCTTATCACGGGCAAGCATAGATGTACAGAATAGTACGAGAGATAGAAGAGGAAAGAAAGTAACTCTTGTGGCATTAGGCACCTATCAATCGGGTGCTGTTGATGGGTTCTCTCCGATTTTGCAGGGCATGAGTCCGGATCCTGGTGGAGTCAGCTGAATACAAATGTCTGGGTCTACACAATTCAGAAAAGAAAGAGGGAAAAAAAAGTCTGCTTTCCTCTCTGCTCTGTTACCGTTTCTATACTCTTGACGCTGGATCTGCCGGAAGTCTTTTTCTTCAATTTTATTTTATTTTTTTCTCCCCTCAAGTTTTTTTTTTTTTTTTTTTTTTTTTCCGGATGGCATCAGTCTAAAGGAAGGTGTCTGTAGCAAGTACTTTACCACTGGCTTTTCGGATGCCTTTTTGCTCATCTGCCCCCATATGATCGGTAACTCCTTGCTATGACCTTCGCTGCCGAATGTCAGGGTGACGATTCAACAATCTCGAAAAGCCGCAGTACGTCTTTTGTCTATGCGTTTTGCTTGAGTGACCAACTCATATCATCAATGTACGTGCGTAGCTTGGTTTTGATGGATAGACTGAGTGATACTTATACGGTTATACCCCCGTGGTTCTCCGCCTCACTCTTTGAGTCCTTTTCGCTTTTCTCCCTCCTTCGGCCGGGTGTGGTTTTCGCCTTTTTTTCTTGAATCTCAGACTCACCTCTCTCCGTTCGATTCGATTGATTGAGAGTTAACTTTCTTTCTTGCTCGACTGATTGAACAGTCCCCTTGTGAGCTTCCCCCCCTCTCAAATTTTCTCCTCCTCCGAATTCCTTTTCTTCCT